ACCTGTTTGCTGTGGTACTCCTTCAGCAGCTCCTCCAGGGCTGCAGCGTTCTCTGTGGGCAGCAAATCAACAAAAGGGAATTTGATCATAAAGACAGATGCAAAGGGAGACACAAGACCAGCTGTTCAGCCATGGGTCAGCTCGGGGCCAGAGTTAGACCGTCACAGGCCTGGCCCTACTTTTCAAAGGCTGGGCTAGGCAGGTTCACAGCTGTGGCCTAGTTAGGGTCCACGGGCTGAAAGACCTGCACCCTTTGGCGTGCTAAGGAAAGGGGACAACTCTCAGACGCTGGAGTTGTACAGAGGAGCCTCTCTGGAAATCAAAGTCACTGGCCAGCACCAATGCAGTGCTACCAATGAAGGAAACATGTTCCATCTCTCCCCTGAGTGTAACATGAAGCCACAGCTCCCCAGCTTTCAGCCCAGGGGCAACCACACGGGTCAGAGATCCCCACCTCCCTTGGTACTGTACTGACCTTTCTTCTCCGTGATCAGCTGCACAAGGACCCCGATAGTATCTTGGTTGGCATCTTCTATTCTGTAGGCTGAATTACCTGGAGGGGGACACTTGGGTATTAAAACCTGCTGCCATTCCCCAGGCACAGTAACACAGCAACTCAGCACCTCACCCACATCAGCTGATTAAGCCTCATGGTGATACACAAACAGGCAAGTGGTGCACCCATTTTACAGATAGGGAAATGGAAACGAAAGGACTCTCTCAAACTCAGTCAGTGGCCTGGCCAGACAGAACCCAGGCACTCTGGCTCTCAGTCCAATACCCTAAGCACTCTCTCCCTGCAGAGCTGTGAAAAAATGTTACATTTTCCCTGATGAGCCCTTCCCCCCAAGTCAGAGGGTATTGGGGATTGGTCCTGCTTTGAGCAGGGGGTTGGACTAGAGGACCTCCTGAGGTCCCTTCCAACCCTGATATTCTAGGATTCTTCTCTACCACACAAGTCAGCTGGTGTCCAGGATCAGCTGGGAGTCTTCTCGTCCTTTTATTACATAGTAGTTCTAGCACAATATGGTCTAGATAGTACACAGCCCTGCCATGAGTGCAGGGGACTGGACTAGGTGACCTCTCAAGGTCCCTAGAGCCGGCTCTGTTACACTAGGTGTTGTACATACATTCACAGCCAGCAGCCCGAAGAGTTCGCAATCTAAGCGGACAAGACAAAGGGGGCGTTGTGGCTGTTTTACAGATGGGAAAACTGAGGCACAGAGGAAATAAGGGACTTGCCCAAGATCAAGCAGACAAAGCTGGGAATTGAACTCAGATCGTCTACATCCCAGAGCCTTAGCCACGAGCGCAGCCTCCCTCTAGCCCAGGACAGCCAGCCAAGCTGTCCCATGCATTGTTCTCCAGCTTGTGCTGCCTTAGAGCAGGTGGCCTTTTCGGGAGCTTTAACAGGTCATTGGGGCAGATGGCCTGACCCAAAATCCCAGATCCTGGCATGATTCTGAGCCCCAACCTGGCGGCATGAGCTTGGCTCGGATCCTTAGGGCCATACGTTCTGCCTGCTTCGCCCCACTCCTGAGGTGGGCAAGGCACTGCCAGCATTGTCAAGCTCTTCGCTTGCTGGCCCTGTGTACACTAGAAAGACATTCCTGTGGGCAGGGCTGGCTCTAGGCACCAGCCTTCCAAGCATGTGCTTGGGGCGGCACTTTCTAAGAGGCGGCACTCTGGCCCCTCTTTTTTATTTTTAATTTTTTTGCTTGGGGCGGCATTGCCGGGAGACTCGGCACGGCAGCGGCAGCAGGACACCATCTCCCTCCCTGCATCCTGCCCCCCCGCTCCTCACACACTCCGGGAGCCCCTCTCTTGGTCGCTGCAGCCCGGGCTGCGGTGGCGGCGAGAGGGGCTGCCGGAGTGTGTGAGGAGCGCAGAGGGAGAGAAGCGGAGTCCCTTGGAGCCAAGCCTGGGCTGCGGCGGTGGCAAGAGGCGCTCCCAGTCAGGGCCGCCCAGGGGTGGGCAAGTGGGGCAATTTGCCAATTTGCATGTCCAAGGCTCCCTCCCCCCCGCCTCCGTCTTCCCCCATCCCTCGGCGTCTCAGCTGGTAAGGGGGCGGGGCTGCGGCCAAGCAGTGGGAGCTCAGACCCTGCTGGAGACACCAGGCGGCTGCAGCGATGTTTGGGTAAGCAGCATCCCCCACAAGCCCCGACCCCCAGCTCTGAGCCCAGCCCCTCTGAGCCGGGCACCCCCCCCCAACCCCATTACCCCCACAGCCCTGACCCCCAGCTCCGAGCCCAGCCCCTCTGAGCCGGACACCCCACGAGCCCATCCTCCCCACAGCCCTGACCCCCAGCTCTGAGCCGGGCACCCCCGACCCCATCCCTCCCACAGCCCTGACCCCCAGC